TTTTTTGTTGCATAATTTGCCGTTTGGCTTGCTTTGTGCATTAAAACTGTTTTTGATTTTGTCGTTTGATTGTTTTTTGTTTAGACAGCCTTATTTAATAAAGAAATAGGGACTTGGAAAGCGGTTTAAAAATTGGTTAAAAATAATAAAAACAATTAATTTTTTTGTTGCATAATTTGCCGTTTGGCTTGCTTTGTGCATTAAAACTGTTTTTGATTTTGTCGTTTAATTGTTTTTTGTTTAAACAGCCTTATTTAAAAAAAAAAAATAGGGGCGTGGAAAGCGGTTTAAAAATTAGTTAAAAATAATTAAAACAATTAATTTTTTTTGTTGCATAAGTTGACGTTTGGCTTGCTTTGTGCACTAATACTGTGTTTGATTTTGTCGTTTAATTGTTTTTTGTTTAAACAGCCTTATTAAAAAAAAAAAAAATAGGGGCGTGGAAAGCGGTTTAAAAATTAGTTAAAAATAATTAAAACAATTAATTTTTTTTGTTGCATAAGTTGACGTTTGGCTTGCTTTGTGCACTAATACTGTGTTTGATTTTGTCGTTTAATTGTTTTTTGTTTAAACAGCCTTATTAAAAAAAAATTGGGATTTGGAAACTGGTTTAAAAATTGGTTAGAAATAATAAAAACAATTAATTTTTTTGTTGCATAATTTGCCGTTTGGCTTGCTTTGTGCATTAAAACTGTTTTTGATTTTGTCGTTTAATTGTTTTTTGTTTAAACAGCCTTATTAAAAAAAAAGATAGGGAAGCTTCTTAATTTTTTGAAGTGGTACATAAAGCAACCGGTTTCGCTTTTCTATTTTATTATTATTTTTCTTCTCTTCTAAAAATTATTGAACATTGAAAAAAAAAATTGCAAAAAAATTTTTTTTTTTCTTTTTTTATTTAAAAAAATATTTTTTTCAAAAGTAAACTAGCTCATCTTGGAACGGCAAAAAAACGGCAAAGTTGGACATAAAGCCTAGTCTTTTGTCTTTGAGTTTGGAGGGGTGCTTCGCTAACTTTATATAAAGTTAGCAAAACACCTTATATCTAAAAAAATACAAGAGCGACAAAATTATTTTTTCCACAACTAATTAACGGCAAAAAAACAGCAAATTCATAGGTATATGCGACATTTTTTTCTTGATGAAAAAATTTTTTTTTTCTTTTTTTATTTAAAAAAAATATTTTTATCAAAAGTAAACTAGCTCATCTTGGAACGGCAAAAAAACGGCAAATTTGGACATAAAGCCTAGTCTTTTGTCTTTGAGTTTGGAGGGGTGCTTCGCTAACTTTATATAAAGTTAGCAAAACACCTTATATCTAAAAAAATACAAGAGCGACAAAATTATTTTTTCCACAACTAATTAACGGCAAAAAAACGGCAAATTCATAGGTATATGCGACATTTTTTTCTTCATGTTGTTTCGCTAACTTTATACACATCTCAAGCAGGATGCGGCAAAACATTTCTTCAAACAGCAAATAATCCATAGAATGCATGCATTGAATCTGAGATGTATTGTAACAGCTTTCAGCGGTATTGCATCTACACTATTAATTAACGGTAG